TAGTAGAGACGGGGTTTCACCATGTTGACCAGGATGGTCTCGATCTCTTGACCTCGTGATCCACCCACCTCGGCCTCCCAAAGTGCTGGGATTACAGGCTTGAGCCACCGCGCCCGGCAAAATAACTTTTAAAAAATTGATAAATGGGTTTTCAATACATGTTACATGTAATCCTCCCTCCTGCTTCTCTGAAGACATAGTTTTTCTACTTGGCCAGCCACATAATTTTTTTGCCTTTAATTTAACGTTTTAAGTATATCTCTTCCCTGTAATAGTAAAGCCGAGTTTGCATTTAAAAGTATAACCAGGCTGGGTGCTGTGGCTCACACCTATAACCCCTGCACTTTGGAGGCCAAGATGGTTGGACCACCTGAAGCCAAGAGTTCAAGACCAGCCCGGCCAACATGGTGAAACCCAGTCTCTACTAAAAACACAAGAGATTAGCCAGGTGTGGTGGTTGGCATCTAATCCCAGCTACTGAGCAGGCTGAGACGGGAGAATCGCTTGAACCCTGGAGGCAGAAGTTGCAGTGAGCCAAGATCGCACCACTGCACTCCAGCCTGGGTGAACAGAGCAAGATTCTGTCTCAAAAAATAAACATAAGTAAGTGGCCGAGTGTGGTGGCTCATGCCTGTAATCCCAACACTGGCAGGCCAAGGCAGGTGGATCACCTGAGGTCAAGAGTTCGAGACCAGCCTGGCCAACATGGTGAAACCCCATCTCTACTAAAAATACAAACGATTAGCCAGGCATGGTGGTGACAGACACCTGTAATCCCACCTACTGGGCAGACTGAGATAGGAGAATTTCTTGAACCCAGGAGGCGGTGGTTGCAGTGAGCCGAGATCACGCCATTGCACTCCAGCTTGGGAAACAAGCGAAACTCCATCTCAAAATAATAATAATAAGTAAATAAATAAAAGTATAACCAGGCCAGGTACAGTGGCTCACCCCTGTAATCCCTGCACTTTGGGAGGCCAAGGTGGGTAGATTACTTGAGGTCAGGAGTTTAAAACCAGCCTGGCCAACATGTTGAAACCCTGCCTCTACTAAAAATACAAAAATTAGCAGAATGTGGTGCTGCATGCCTGTAGTCCTAGCTACTCAGGAGGCTGAGGCGAAAAGAATTGCTTGAACCCAGGAGGCAAGGGTTGCCGTGAGCCAAGATCGCGCCACTGCACTCCAGCCTGAGTAACAGCAAGACCCTGGCTCAAAAATAATAATAAATTATAACCAATGTAAAGGGTGAGTGGAGAAGTTAATGTATTTGATAGTAACCATTTGAGTCAGTTTTTTTCTTCCTTTGTTTTTTCGCAACAGGGTCTCACTCTGCCACCCAGGCTGGA